AGTCCATATTAATGTGGTCCATTTGTTTAAGAGGTTCAATTCTAGTAAATTAGAACTATTATTATACAACTGTTCTTTAATATATATATATAAATATACACTGGTATATATATATATATATATATATATATCTTGTTTTATTACTCCGTCCTAACTTTTTACTTGGTTTGGATATTATCAAATTACTAAACAACGTAAAAAAGGAGTACTCCAATTATATTATTTTGTACAAAATTTTAAATTACTTTTTTAAGATTTTCTAAAATTATTCAACACTAACTAATTTCCATTACCCTCCCCTTCTTCTAGAGCACAAAGCCAAAATATTTCTTATTTTGGACCAAAAATATTGTTGCCGACGATGAAAACGTAATTTTTAGGCCCCTTTTTGTCATTTTTTCAAATAAAAAAATTTTAAACACATTCTGTAAGCCAAAGTACATGTTTGAACGTATGATTATATTGAAACAACAGTTTTTAGAATTTTTTGAAAGGTTGCCTGTAAAATCGCTGTTAATTTTATACATATTTTCTCAAACGAAAACCAGCACTTCTTAGCAAATTTTGGACCCCCCCCCCACTCCTTCCTCTTTTCCAATAAATATAATGGAATCTTACAAGAATTGTGGCATCAGAAATATAAACAGTTTTTAAAACAACACCTTGCAGTCTTTTTATTTGCAAAAACTGAAATAAAACCTTATCGAGAAAATAAAAACATAACTTCTGCAAAACAATGATAATTCACTTTTAGTCTTGAAATGCAGTGCGAAAACATAAAGTTTGCGCAATACCCCAAAATATAAAATATATTATTAACTACTTTTCCATCTATTGACTGTAGAAAATACGGACGCATGATGCATCACGTTGAACTTAAAGTAAATTGTACGTGAGATTAAAATCTTACAGGTTTTCAATCAGAACTCCAAAACTAAGGAGTGTGTTTACATGATCAGGTTTTCATAATTAGAGTTTTCATTATTAGAGTTTTCATAAATAGAGTTATCATAATTAGAGTTTTCATAATTAGAGTTTTCATAATTAGAGTTTTCATAATTAGAGTTTTCATAATTAGAGT